GCTGGAATTGGAGTAGGAATGTGACTAAGAGCCGGACTACAACTCTCTTGCAGGTGATGCCCCCTCCTCAGACTGGGGGCAGTGACCTCGACCTAGTCACTGGATGTTAAAACCTGTTTGGTCGTGTTCCTCGTATTCCAAGGGCAGTGGGGGATCCTCTTGTGGTCTCCGAGACATTCGTCCCCACTGGAATCATTGATCAGACGTCGGGACGGGGCGACAAACTTAGACTTGCCCTTCTTGGCGTACTCGGGTTCTTGTTTAGGTGTCATGGTACATGTGGAAGGCTTACTAGTACTTAAAGAAGTCAAAAAGACCCAAGAAAAATTTTTAGAACAAAATTATGACTTAGACCAAAAATAAAAATTCTTTGAGCAGTAGCTGTTTCTGTGACCCACGGTGGGTACCTACACTCCATCGATGGATTGATAGGTCATAGGTCCCCTTCGAAGGTCAGAGAGCCCATTTTTGGGTCTCTGATATTGGAACCATGGATGTGCAGTACGGTTCGTCAATGGAACGATGGACTGTAGTCCACACCGTGGTTCGCAACTTAGCAAATATGTGTGTGTATGCAATTGATGGACCACGATCTACGGTCCATCGATTGAGGCTGTCGAGTGCTGTGCCAGACAGTGTGATCCCAATATTCCAACAACACATTAACTTCAACAATCAATCAATTAATCTAAGTCAAAACATTCAATTCAACATATTATATGGTAGTTCATCATCCGTCGGGTTTGGATTATGCAAAATTCAACTTCAACATTGAGACAACGAAACCCTAAGTCAAAACTCCCAATTAGACCTATCAAACCCACTGATTTATGTTAAATCTACAACACACGAACACACCATCGTTCCAAGGGCAGTATCTAAACTAGATTTCAACAATTTTACATGCAATTTACTACCCAAGGTCAAGTTCAACTCTGTGATTTCAAATTTAAACAATGAAAACGAATTCAAAGTTTTGGTGAAATCGATTACCTCACAAGTAAACAAAGTTTGTGAGTGTGTAGTACAATGATTTCTCCTTCTAACTAGAATGACCTAGACACCGAACCCAGACCATGAATGGTTGGTATAAATGAGGAATTTTTTAGAGGAAATGGGTTATGGGCAGATTTGAAAGAGAATGGGGGGAATGAAATCTGAAGTGGAGGATATATGGGATTAAATGAGAGAGATTGGGAGATGAATATGGGGTAATTGGATGGTTTGAAATGGTAAGTAAAAGGAGGGAAATGGGGAATGTTTAAAAAATGAAGGGGTTTTTATTTAATGGGGTCTGGGTCGGGGCAACAGAAACCCTAACTTGGACCCATAAAACACCGTCGACGGTCTGTGGGTCAACCTATGGTCCATCGATGGGTACTGTGGTTCACTCCAACACTTAATGAAAATCAGAACACATACATGGGATCTACAGATGCCATCCACAGTCCGTGGGTGGACCGACGGACCATTGATGGGAGCCATAGACCACTGCATTAGCTAAATTTCTATAGAATTAACTTTTATTCCCTGCACATGTAGCAAACATTGGGATGTCCTCTTTACATTTTCTGGACACTTGTTAGACACAGACCCTATTCTATCTTTATCTAGTGAACCCTAAACTAGAAATTAAAAATATCTATCTAAAAAAACTACAAATTTAAGAAAAACTCCCTATATCGAAAAGAAACTCCTATAGTTGGCTAGATTTTACATATTGGGTTGCCTCCCAAGCAGTGCTTGATTTAACGTCGCGGCACGACGCAGACACCTTGATAACTCAGACTTCATCAAGACCCCACTCCTCTATCACCTCATTTACACTCTCAGATTGCCCCAAGTAGAAATTTATCATTTGTCCGTTCAGCTTGAACTTCGTTCCATCCTTGTTCTCAAGTTCAATAGCTCCATGTGGAAATACTTGGGTTATTGTGAATGGTCCGGTCCACTTACACTTGAGTTTGCTAGGAAATAAGCACAACCTTGAGTTAAATAATAGTACCTGGTCACCGAAAGCAAATTCACACTTTTTGATCTTCTGATAATGGTACTTCTTCATTTCTCTTTGTACAAGGTTGAACTTTTATATGATTTTAGGTGAAAGTCATCAAGCTAATTCATCTCATTCATTCTTTGACCCGATGTTGCGCCTCAATCCAAATTTAACTTCTTTAGTGCCCACGTCGCCTTATTCTCTATCTCTACAGGCAAATGACAAGACTTCCCATATACAATTTGGTTGGGGGACATACCTATAGGATTTTTGAATGCAGTGCGATAAGACCATAGAGCATCATCAAGACTTCTTGACCAATCAGTTTTGTTGGCATTTACGGTCTTTGCAAAAATTTGTTTTATCTCGCGATTTGACACTTCAACTTGCCCACTCGACTGCGGATGATACGGGGTTGCTACGATGTTGCGAACATTATAGTTCTCAAGCAACGCCTTAAACAATTTATTACAAAAGTGAGAACCTTCATCGCTTATGATTGCCCTTGGTGTACCAAATCTGGAGAAGATATTTTTTTTCAGGAACGCGGCTACACTCTTTCCCTCATTGTTTGAAAGCTCAACTGCTTCCACCCATTTTGATACATAGTCAACCGCCACAAGAATGTACTTCATCCCATTAGAACTCACAAAAGGCACAATGAAGTCAAGACACCAAATATCAAAAAGCTCAATCACCAGTATTTGGTTCATTGGTAGTTCTTGTTTTTTCGAAATTCCTCTCTCACGCTGTCAACGATCATAAGACTTGGCGAAATCATGAGTATCTTGGTGGATGGTAGGCAAGTAATGCCCACACTGCATAATTTTATAGACAGTTCGGAAACCACTATGGTGCCCACCAACAGGCGATGAATTACACCCCTCTAGTATACTCATCATCACAACCTCAGGCACACAGCGACAAATAATCCCATCAACACAAACACGAAACAAGTAAGGCTCATCTCAAAAGAATTTCCTCAAATCAGACATGAACTTTTTACTTTGGTGAAATGATAAATCCGACGAAATCAAATCACTTGCCAAGTAGTTAGCAAAATTTGCGAACCCAGGGATACGATCATAAGAAGCCACCAATACATGTTCATTAAGGAACGCATCATTAATCTCAATTACATCTTCTAGCTTGATCATAGCTTCCTCCGCTATTCTGGACAAATGATCAGCAACCTAATTTTTTGTACCCTTTCTATCCTTTACCTCAAAATTGAACTCTTGCAATAGGAGCACCCATCTAATCAATCTTGGTTTTGCATCCTTTTTAGCCATCAGATACCTCAATGCAAAATGGTCAGTATGCACTATGACCTTAGTACCAAACAAGTAGGATCTAAATTTTTCAAATGTGAAAACCACATCAAGGAGTTCTTGTTTAGTCACAGTATAGTTCTTTTGAGCCACATTCAGAGCTTTGTCGGCATAGTAAATCAGATGAAGAATTTTCTCTCGCCTCTATCCTAATACTACACCAAGCGCCACCCCACTTGCATCACACATCACTTCAAATGGTTTACCCCCAATCCGGTGAAATAATGATAGGTGTCGAAGTTAACTTTTCTTTCAACTCTCCAAATGCTCTCAGACAAGCATCATCAAAATCAAATTTACACTCATTTTCAAGTAGCTTGCACAATAGGTGTTTAATTTTAGAGAAATCTTTTATGAACCTCCGGTAGAAACCTGCATGCCTAAGAAAACTTCGAACACCTTTTACAGAGATGGGTGATGGAAGCTTTTCTATTACCTAAACTTTAGCTCTATCAATCTCAATACCTTTCTGTGAAATCCGATGACCCAAAACTATGCCCTCTTTTACCATGAAGTGGCACTTTTCCCAGTTGACCACAAGATTGCACTCATCACACCATTTTAGTATCTCTGCCAAATGTGTCAAACAATCATCAAACGAGTCACCTACCACAGAGAAATCATCCATAAATACCTCTATCGTGTCCTCCATCATATCTGAAAATATCGACATCATACAACGCTGGAAGGTTGTTGGAGCATTACATAACCCAAATGGTATCATTTTGAAGGCAAAAGTCCCATAAGGACAAGTGAAGGTGGTTTTCTCTTGGTCTTCCGAAGCTATGGAGATTTGATTGTAGCCCGAATACCCATTTAGAAAACAATGCCAACCCTTACTAACAAGATGATCTAGCATTTGATCCATGAACGATATTGGGAAATAGTCTTTCTCAGTCCATGCATTTAACTTGCGGCAGTCCATATATACTCTCCAACCAGTCTCCGACCTCATTGGAACAAGCTCATTTTTCGTATTGGGAACCACAATGATTCTTTTTTTCTTTGGCACACACTGAACTGGGCAAACCCAACTACTATCAGAAATAGAATATATAACTCCAACATCTAACCACTTAATGATCTCCTTTTTCACAACATCTTGCATAGGGGGATTTAGTCTCCTTTGATGCTCAATACTTGGCTTACTGTCTGGCATGAGTTGAATTTTTTGAGAAAAAAATACCCAGAGGAATCCCAATAATGTCCACAATAGTCCATCATATAGCCATCTTAAACCGCTTTAACACCGATATCAAAGCCTTTATTTGCCCCTCACTCAAGTCAGCAGGAATAATAATGGGCAAGGTGTTATTTTGTCCCAAGAATCCATACCGCAAGTGGGATGGAAGAACCTTAAGTTCCAGTTTTTTAGGCTCATCAACAGACAGTTTTACAGGTGGGGTGTCACGATTATTCATGTCTAATTCCAACAATTTTTGTTTGAAGCGGAACTCGAACCTATCAAGTGCAGCAACTAGCTCATCATAGTCATTAATACAATCACTATCAAAATTCATCATCAGTGTTGCTAGTGCATCAACACTTAACCTCTCTTTAATAGACACTTCAGATTGTCGCCCCACAATATGATTTACCACCGATACCGACTTAAGATCACTTTCATGCTTCATAGACCTATAGATGTTGAAAGTTACCTCCTCAATATTTAATCAAAACTTCATTTGTCCTCTATCCATATTGACTAAGGCACGCCCAGTAGCAAGAAATGGTCTCCCTAAGATGATGGAAACCTCAAAATCAACCTCACAATCAAGTATCACAAAATCCACCAGAAAGATGAAGGACTCCACTTTCACAAGAACATCTTGGAGCACTCCAATGGGCCTCTTCACAATTCTATCGGTCATAAGTAAATATATCGCAGTCGGCTTTGGAGCTCCTAAACCCAATTTTTTATAAATGGACAATGGCATAAAATTAATTCTGGCACCCAAATCACACAAAGCTTTCGCAAAGTGTAAAATTCCAATGGTACAAGGAATAGTGAAAGTTCTAGAATCCTCTTTCTTTTGCACAAGTGACCTAGTAGAAATAGCACTACAATGTTGCAGTCTCTCTTCATTCTCAAAACTAACAGCCCTTTTTTCGGTCACCAAGTCTTTCATGAATTTTGCATACCCAGGCATCTGTTTCAAAGCTTCAATCAACGGGACATTTATAGACAGTTCCTTCAACATAGCTATGAACCTATGATATTTTCCCTCTTCAGTCTTTTTCACTAATCTTTATGCAAATGGAGGTGGAGTTCTAGGCATAAAAACAACTTTTGAGTCACCTCCTCTTCCTTTTCTGTATCATCTTTCAGAATTTCAGTAACCTCATCCTCATATTTTTCTATCACTTTTTCAACCTCAGACGGCATGGGGGGATCAATAGTCTGCTTTCCTCCGCGAATCATGACTGTCATACAATGCTCACAATTCTTCAGATTCCGGATGGTGTTGCTAGGAAGTGTGCCAGGCTAGTGTGGGTTTACAGTAGCAGACAACTGCCAAAACTGCTACTCAAGTTGCTTTATCGACACTGCATGTGCAACAACTTTCTGACCAATTCCAGATAAATCATTTCCCATCTCCTTCACATTCTCATCTGTCAAATTAAATCTCTTCATCATCTTTTGCATCATATCCTCAATGCGAGTCATATTTGTACCCGCCTCTATATTACCATGGGGAACGTAGGGCCCAACCTTCTTATTTTTGTTGCCATAATTATTTTGGTTGTAATCGTTATCACGATTGTAGTTCCCATCCCGAACATAGTTTCCATCTAAATTGTAGTTTCCATAGTTCCGACCTTGGTTTCCTTGACCTTGGCGCTAATTATCCGAGTTGAAACCTTGGGCGTTGGTTTGAAAACCCCTCATCTGATCATTAACCAAATTTGCATCCTCCTCATAGTAATATTCCTCAACTGGCGGTGGTGGAGGTCTAGTTAGATAATTTACCGCATTCACTTTTTCTGCATTTCCACTCACATGTTTTATTACCAAGCCAATTTTTGTTCTCATTTGAGTCATCTCTTCACGAATGTCATCATTTGATTGACTAGGTGTAATTTGGTTAGCAAATGTGCTTCTACCAGTATTTGCCTTCCTAGTGCTCCATGTTGTTTTGTCCTGGGAAATCCTCTCAAGTTTTTTAGCAAACTCCTCAAAAGTGAACTCACCATATGATCCTCCAGCAATAGTATCTAACACAACCTTTCCATTGTCATCATGTCCTCTATAGAAGTAATCTTTCAGTGACTCATCATCTATGTGGAATCCAGTGAATCTATCCCATGAAATGCTTACCGACTCTCGAGGTAGTGCCGTGAAATTATTCAATTTATCTTTGTAATTCAACTTCTTGGACACCGGAAAATACCTCTCCATGAACACCTTATGCAGTTAGTCACATGTATATATCGAATTGTATGGAAACTCAGAAAACTACACAGCAGCATCACCAGTCAACGAAAGTGGGAATACTTCCTAACCTATAATGTTCATATCTAAGTCCGGTCCTCCCACACTACTCTTACAGACACTTGTCAATTTATCCATGTGAGCATATGGATCTTTCGAAGATAACCTAGCGAACAACCCTCTCGCTGTAAGCATTTGCATAAGACTACTGGTCACCATAAATGTATGTCCCAGAGATAGAGGAGGGAGAACAATAGACCATTTAATCCAACCGCATTGTAGTCAACACTGTAGTTATAACGAAGCCTCGGTGCTTACTGGTTTTGCATCCTTTCTGCATTTTTTATTAGATGATCACCCTGAACCTGAGCAGGAACATTCACAACTCCAGAAGGTAGAACACCAGCTCCATTCTCTTGACCCTCTCTGATAGGATCATTTTGTACCCAAGATTTACGCCTCTTCCAACCATTCTTCTCAAAGTTTTCCTTAATTCCGGATCGTAGTGCGTCAGGGGATTTCCTTCAATCCATGTACTTGGCATACACTAGAGTTGAAACTTGTAGAAAACAAAAATAAAACAAAAACATAAAATCAGGAAATACTTGACTAAAGTTCAACAATGTAGTTAGTTTAATCTAAAAGTCGTATTCCCCGGCAGCGGCGCCAAAATTTGATACGCCCAAATTACACTTCCCAAAAGAAGTATAAGCGATTGTTGCCATATAAAGAACCCAACTTGTAGGTTGGGGTTGATCCCACGAGGAATATGGTTCAGACTTAAACTTAACTTACAATTATCTCCTTTTAGTCAAACTATTTTCGAGAAAAGTAAACAGGGTTTTTTTTAACTAAAATAATAGATTGTTGGTTTGATTTTGAGGTTCCAAGTAAACAAAGTTCACAATTTGATATATCAATATAATATGAAACTAGGGTATATGTGTTCCCCACAAGCTCTTAACGCAGTTTTTCTAATAATAGTAATCATATCCTAGTGTTTGATATACAAGGCTAATAAGTTGATATCCTTAAGTGATTGGTAATCCAAGTAGGAACTTTCACCTCGCAACTTGGTAAGTCTACGGGAGTGTTCTTTACTAACCCTTACCTTTACCCCATATTAGTCATCGTGTCAATTGAGTTGGGTATTCACCCTCACGACAACTGATTAAAGTCAGACTATTAGATAGAAACAAATCCTTAACCAAATCTCTATTATTTAATCCTTTTTTTCATTCATTACCCCCTTGGTAAGGTAAGTAGGAACGAGGTGAGTTCTAACATTGCGCTACGCTAGAAAGACTTTTAAACAAAAAGATTAACAGTTCATGCATAAACACTATTCAAGAATTACTTAGTTATTAGTCATACGTTGTTAATTTCTCATGGTTCCCACAACCCTAGTTGTGGATTTATCTACTCATGCTTGAAAATTCACAATTCATATTAAGGTTAAACAAAATCATGAACTTACAATTAGAATAGATGAAAATTGAAATCTTGAATTGAAATTCAAAGTGCAAATTGCATAAAACCAACTTTCAGAATCAAATTGATAAGAGTTTGCAAAATAATTGCAAAAGACCAAAACAAAAGTTTCCAATATTGTCTAACACCCCAAAAACAGATATAACAACTAATATTTGTAGTATTTAAATCCTAAACCAACTAGGAAATGAAAATAAGGAAAAATAGTTCAGGGAGCGGTTTTGACAGACAACCGGACCTACGGACCGTGGGTCACCTCTGTGGTTCAGGTACTGGAACTCAATCTTTCTAATCAAAACGACGGATATGCAGGACGGTCCGTCATTCACTCTACGAGGCGTCATTTGCCTCTGTGGTTCCACACTTGGTCAGACTTCCCTGAACTACACCTACGTTGTATCACCTACGGGCCATCGTTGGCTTCGTCAGTTATTATTGCTGCTATTTCAGTCCATTTTTCTATCAACCGCTTCCAAACTAATTTCCTGCAAAAGATTACATAAAAACATTATATCTAATAACAAAATAGCCTAAGACACACACAAACTCTAAGTGAAATGCATCAAAAATACCGTAAACTCACGATATATAAAGTATCACTATTGATTTTTAAATAGATGGTGCACTAAAGGGATTGGAAGTATATATTGAAAATGTCTCTTAATACTTCTATAAGCATAAAGAGCTTTTTATAGCCAAATTAGAATAAAAAATTACATGATTACAAATTGAAAAAATAAACTACCTTAACAAGCTAAACGAAATCTAATGAAAATGTAATATTCATATTCATTCTAAAACTAGCAATATATATATGCTAAAAATTAACTATAATTACAAAAAGCAAAATTTCAACAAATACCTTTTATTCGATCTTGATAGTAGTGAGAAATATTTCAAAGCTAAGAAGGTCTTCCACTCTCTTCTCAAGCCCAACCAGTTTCACTAATTCAACAACTCCTACTTTTCCAAGAAAAAATTCTAGTTTCTCATGCACAAGAATTATTCCTCTTCCAACCACAACTTCACCTGTAGAAGTTCCTGGATCATTGTAATAGTTTTCATGAACCACCTTTAACTTTAGTTTCTGACCAATAGGATAGCTACTAAAGTGTATCTTAATAACCTCGTTCCACGTTGGCTCCGGCCTTCCAACTATCCTCCTTGTACTGAACTCTCTCCCACTCTCATCACTCACGATCACACGATAAATTCCCCTGGAAAAATATGGGAAAGTGCCCTCCAGTACTGAATTAATATTTGAAGCTTTTTTTATTAAAAGATTAATCATATACTCATTTTCACCGCTATTCTTGTTGTCATTGATGTGTGATTTTCCACGAAAAGTTGTTAAATCATCGTCATCCCATGGTCTCGGACGACGATAACCCATCTGTGAAAAACCATTATCACTCATTGTTAATGGATAGAGGAGAAGAATAAGACTTCCTTGGTTTGGATTGGAGATTGGTTTTTATACTGGAAAAGTTTGATAAAATTAAGGTAACACAATCTACCTCTTGAAATTTGGTACACATATTATTAAGTAAATTATTTTTGATACATTTAATAGAGTCAAACTAGCCGTTAACTAGTCATTGAAAAAATGATTGACAATCTTTTTTTTACCTACTATATATATATATATTAGAAACCAAACCATTATTGGACATTTTCTTTAGAGATAATACTAATTTTTTTAATAATCCCCACATATTTTATAAGAGATATTTCAAAAATATAGAAAAAACTTAAAATATAGATGGACTTTGAGTACGGGTGTCAAAATGAGCCTAAATATTGGCAATCCGTCCAACCCACCAGAAATTTTATGGGTTGCGCTCAAGATAATTTGAATTGGGTCAATCTCAACTCATTCAAGTATTCACCCATTTAAAATAATCTTAAGTTGTCCCAATTTAATCTTCAATTTCAACCCATTTTAAGAATCTTTATTTGCATTGGTGTAATGTATGTTCTCATATTGTAGGTATGAATCACTATCTATTTTATATCTTCTAGGATTTATCTATCTATTTTAACTTATTTTTTTATTTTCTTGAGTTGAAATTCAAATTATGGCAATAAAATTTAAATAACAATATGTTAACATTATCGATATTAAGCGAGTCAAATGGGCAGGTCATGGGGAAACTGATTTTTTAGCCCATTTGAGCCTAAATCATTTGAGCCCTATGTAAATTTGGGTAGGTCATGACCAATTTAATTTCTATTTCAACATATTTTAATATCTCTAATATCCACCCAACCTACACATTTGACATCCCTAGCTTTGAGTATAATGAAATTTATTTGGGATCTTTTGGACAATGACCTTGTTATAGATAATGTCACGCCCCGAACCTACAACCTGGACGTGGCCGACACTCGAGAACCATACCTGGCCCCAAGCGAACCCTTGGCCTGGCTTAACTCTTAATGAAAACTTACTCAACATCAAAATGAACTGAAATATAATCTTAACTAAACTGTCTCAATAGATAACTTAGAATGTTTTAGAAATAAACATTCAACTAGCCAAAGTGGAAACTCAAGTCTCAACATGAACAACTGAAAATGAAAAGACTCATGAACTAACGTCTATCTATCTATGAAGCCTCTAATACAATGAGGGATGTCGGGACAAGACCCCTGATCATCCTAACAAACTGAAATGACAACACAATGATAAAAGGGATCCTCTGAAGTAAGGAGGCTCACCAACACTTTGAAGCTCAACTGGA